AATTAGTCCGCTCTATAGTACCAGTATTTAAGCCTATGATGTAGTGATTAATTTTTATACCTGCAGATGATGAAATGTCCGGAAGTAATAACACTTGATAATAGCGATGATAATGACAGCGATGAACCCAATTCAGGAAGTCGAAATGTGGGAGCAACCGCCTCAATTATTCATGCGAAACCTCTCAATTTCGCAGCACTGCAACCAAAGGTTGGTTTTTGGCCTTTCAAAATATAATGGAATGAAATGAATACTTTCAAGATCAGAAAAGACTTGTTTAGTAGACATTTTGCAATTAATTTTTCAAAGGCAGTGCTAGACGAATAATCTTAATGTTCTTAACTTTCTATTGTACTAATGTTGATTTAACAATTATGGGAATTTTAGAATCAAGTAGATTTCAAAAAGGATAAATAGTTTATTGAAGTAACTACATAACTGATAGCAGAATAATCTACTGAGTCGCAAACAATTATTTGCATAGATTCAATCATTTTCAGACAAGCTTATATAACCTAAGAAACTCATATGATAGATTGGCTTTCAGTTAAAATGCTAATAAGATAGCGTAATAAAAAGAATTGGTGATCTTCTAAATAAGATAGCGTAATAGAATTGGTTATCTAAATTACAGAGACCTGCAGTGAGTAAATTACCAGTGCGTACTACAAGTTTAAGTTCGTCACAGTTTTGCCGAGCCAATATTTCGGAAACTTCTGCAACACAAATGCTGCAAAAAGCATTCGCGGTTTCACATACCAAGCAACCAAGTTTAGAACCCCGAAATCGGATCATATCGGACGGGGAAAATGACACTAGCTGTATCGTTCTATCATCGTCATATAGAGAAAGCAGTTTGGATTCATACTGCTATGAAAGTTATGATCCAAAAGCACCACCATTTGAAACGCAACAATTCAATGCCAAATTCCGAGTAGGTTCTTTTTTTATTCCAGTTTTCTTTCATTTTTTAAAATTTTTTTATTAAATTCAGCTACAATTTTAGTAAAAACAGAAATACATAACAGTACTTGATGTATTTTCATCCTTAGACTCTATAGATTAAGTAGCTAATGAAATTAAATAAGCAGTTTGATACCTGTGAACCTCTTCTGAAGAATTCATTCATGACTTCTATGATTGGAACTACTGGGAGAGGTAACTTGAAAAGATTAAATGATTACCTAAAAGATATGAGGTAAGGAATTTATTCAGCAGTATCCGTTTCTTTTAAGTCCTTTCTTATCACTTTGCATGTAATTTACAACATAGTGTGTTACTTTTTGGTTTTTGTTTGAATTCTTTATACGAATATTTTCAGTGTTCCGTTGGAAACTGTCGAATGTTGCTTTCAAATAATGTAAGTTTCATGTTCCATCTATGGGCACATTTAACTGAGTTCAATTATGGCAGTGGTCTTAATTGCCCCCGAGAAATGCACCGATTCTGCCGTTGTCCACAGTGCCTGCATTTATTCCCTACTGCATATCGTCTGCAGATCCATTATGATAATGTTCACAGTGCGACGCCGTCCTCGTCCACGTGTAAAATATGTGAAATCACTGTAGATGAGGTTTATTTTTAACCCTCTTTTTATCATTTTCGTGCAGTGCGAGCAGAAGCTCCTATTTTAAAACCATGCTGCATCTTTTGTTTGAAAATCTGATATTCATATAGAATTGCCGTAAATTACATCTTACTCACTTAATTTACAAACATTAATCTTAGCATCGTACGCAATTCAAATCCGTATGATTTATCAGGACGTTAGGAGTATTTAATCGTTCTGGTCATTTCATTTCTGCAATGGAATGATTTGATGACTCGATGTTTGACTTGGTTATAAGCGAAGTCTTATAGAACTTTATAAGATCTTAACTCCTATGCATTTGTTATTTTTTCCTTTCTTAAATCTATTTAAAATCATGGAAAGCTGTAATTATTATGATTTCAGAGCAAGCACTGGCAAATTCATGGTGATTTCGATGCGCCATTTCACTGCAGAAAGTGTCGATACAGAACTTCTATAAGAACCAATTATATAGATCATTTTGTTCGATTCCATTCAAATACACGTACTTTATTATGCCCCTTCTGTCTTTACTCTTATGTCATATCAAGAGATAACACGTCATCTGTGATAAGTGAACGCGGATATGTCAAACATTTTTTGCTACATCAGGAAGGTGAGATATTTCAAAAATGTGAGCAAATAATGCTTTTTTATTTCAATTTATTAGTTGCACAACTTCAAATAAAATTGTGTCTGGTGAAATGACATGATCATATTTCCTATTCTAGAAAACTATGGTTGTAATCAGTGCTCGTTAAAATTCATACGACATGCTGATAAATTCGCTCATCGGAAAGAGCATACTCAACCAAACTTGAAATGGATCTCAAAAAGTGTCCAATTTCATACAAGAAGAAAGGTAATGAATTGACATTTGTGCGCTTTGTATATTTACTTGTTCTTGTTTTAAGAGGTTAAAAAAACAGTGATTAAGAAGGATATCAAAATTGTTTGTATAGAGCTGCACATTTATATATTTAAAGACTGAAAGAAAAAATTACTTCTTTAAAAAACATGTTGAGAACTAAGATTAGCATCCAATTGTGACACATCCATTATTTACAAAGCAGAGTGATGGATGTGTCGTAGTTAGATCTGAACATAGACTTAAATCATGAAACTTTTTTTGACTTGAAGAAAAATAGCTGCTTACTTCAATTCAGTTTTCTGAAAGAAGCTTCCAACTGGATAGTTTTGGGTTGTCCTTCAGCTATCTGTTTGTAAATCTTGATTAAGAGCATACTTGTTTGTTTCAGGGCCGCAAATTATGGTCAAAGAAAAGGTGGAAATGTATGGAATGTAATGAAAGTTTAAATAATGTGTGTGAACATTTCAAACATACTTATTATTGTTCTCATTGTGGTTATCGTACAAACTGTCACAATGCATCACAGCGACACAAATTCATCAAATGCAGAAAGGAACGAGAAGGGATAACGAGGCAAATTTAAGCTTTATCACTATTCTAACAAAGTAGCATGCTTATAAATAAGGTGTTAGAAACATATGTAATATGTAATATTGTTGTAGTTGTTGAAATGCCACAACATATTACAGTACTTATGTGGTATGAATAATATATGTTCAATGATATAACTTTGAATTTTGCTTATTATAAGTGTTTTTTATATAACTTCCCTTCTTACATTACTGTACTTAATAAATATTTCTAACTAGTAAGGGAAGAATACAAAAATTAATGATACTTCAGTAAAGAGTTTTATTAACGAAAAAAATTTATGCATTAGGCCATGAGGTTAGAATATAATCCTTGTTATGATGAGGGAATTGTAGTAGTTCAAACTGTTAATTTTCAAACGTTCATTACTTCTGTATTTTAGAGCTCAATTATTACCATCATTAGTTGTCTGTAATCGTTGTAAACGTGCATCATGTCTTCAACGAGACATTTTGGATCATGTGCGTGATTGCAGTGGAGGAAGCTGTATTATCGTTGATCTGAAGGAGGAAAAGAGCAATATCTTCAGCCAATATAATGATGAGCTAGAGGTTAGTCATCGTCGCATGTATTTTTTACTTTGTTTTGCAATTCAATTCCGTACTTATTTCTATTCTGAAGTATAGCAAAGTGCTTTACTTTTTGATAATTTAGATTCAGTAACAGCATCCTGTTTTCAAGTTAATAGTGTATGCAGTGGAAACGCTGGTTTGACTGTCATTTCTTAAATTTCAATTAATAACTTTTGGTCGTTAAATATCAGTGCGTCATATATTGGAACGTTTGAAGTAGTGTTTCATTTTTTAATGTTCTAGTCAATCAGTACTGTAGTATTGTACTCTCATAGTGGTCTGTCTATTGAATAAAAAAGAAAAGAACTTTTAATGATCAGAAAATTCTTTGTCCCATGTATCTCATTCTCTTTCTTTCTCTTATAGATGAAAATTTTTGCTCTTCGTCCGCAAGAGGAAACTACAAGACCTGGTGATAATGATGTTGTGTCAGACTTACATAATTTCCGTCGTCTACGGGATCAAAATTCTTTGTCGCCCTCTCTTGTCAAAGCAAATATGGAGCTGAACGATGCACGTCTACACATTTTGTGAGCTTCTGTGAAATGTTAAGCAATTCTTATAGAGCAGATGTCATAGAGTGAAAATAAGTTTCAATCAGTTGAGAGTGACGAAATTTTTCTATTTGCAAAATGTGTAACTATGTTCATTGCTGTTAAAATGCTAGCTTTATTGTCCACTGTTTAAAATCCAAAGCAATGTACAATGCATTGCCAAGGTTCAAAATAAATAGTTAAACCTTTTATAATATACTACGAAACATTTTAACAACTCACTCTTTTAATAGAGCTTCGCAGAAATAATTATTGAAAGTTATAAATAAAATACTTGCAGGAGAAGAATTTTTCCAAGGCCGCTTTTTTCTTTTGCCGATATGCTCAAACGTTCTTGATCATCTTTTTATCATGTATTTTTTTGACATTTGATATCAGCCATCCGTTGCTCATATGTTTATTACATATCACGTTGTAGAATTTCTAACCATAATAGCTTATAAATTCGCATCTTTTTTTTTTTAGAATTAATGATGAAGTGGTCAGAAAAATTGACCAAATATCTAATATTTAATGAAATCTTTTTGTCTTTGTTATGAGAAATTGCCATAAATTACTAGATTGAGGAAAACAATGTTTGTTGAAACAAATATAATAATTATAACATTTGAACAATAAACCTTTCAGCCCTCTGCATTTGATATCTGTTTTATGCCATCAGCTGGCGTTTATTATCTACCAAATGTCCTAAAATAATCTGAAGCATTCTGCTTTTATGCGTTTTTGTTTGCATAGTATGACGGGATTCTCTAAAATAGAAACGCGGCGATACATGTATATGTCACAACTATTATTCTACAATCTTTATATTGTTCATTTCTGCTAAATACGGTTCTTCTTTTCCGAATATATATAGAAGAACTCCTTTATACTTCGCTCCTTTATTCCCTTAAATGTTTTATCCGAAATCGAAATTTTTACAAAATAACTACTATCATGTGTAGTTCCATGAGAGAACATTATTATGAAGACGATTACGTTGGCAGCATATGACTGATCGCTTCAGAAGTATCCGTATCACAGCACCACTAGTGAGTTAAGTTGAAGCTAAATGAGAACAAAGATTTAGTAACAGATACATACATGGAAAAAAACCGACATCGACGATTTAATGGAAACACCTATACTGGCTTGGCTTGAAATTTTACTAAAATAAAATACGTTGGCAAGATAAAATATTTGGTGGGGCAATAACAATTTTTCCATGATAAATCGCATTGAATAATCCTAAATATTTGGTGTAATTCATGCTTTGACGTAAAATTATTCTACTAAACTTAAAGAACTTGAAAGCGAGTGAAGTGGTAAAATTCGCTATCTTTTTGAATAATTATTTCATTTCACATCATTTTTCTGCTTTGCATCATGTTTAAAGAAATTATATTATTTTTGACGTGTTTTATCGAAGATTTTTAGTTTTACAGAAGGACATTTACGAGTGAGAGCAGAAAAATCCAACCCGGTAGTCTTTAACGTTGCGCAAGAATGATGCAAAAGGATTCTGAATCATTAGAAAGATTCAAAGCGGCGGCCTTGTTTCGCATCTGAATTTCTCTCCGCTATACTAATAATAAGCATAATTCAGGAATTTGATATACGTTATTGTCTCCGTAATATTGACAATGTTATCGATTATCACGAAGTTTTGATAATAAGCAGATAAGATTAAGAATGGCGAGCCGCTGACCTGCTTGCAAGTGGAGCAGACCGCAAAAGAGTCAACCTTGGACCGTAAAATTTGATTAAAATTAAATATAAAAAGTGAGCTTTCGCTGTTCAAAATATATATAGTAAAAATTTCAAGATGCTTCTAGAGAATATATACACATAATGCTATTTTTATTATCACTTATTCAACCATCATATTTTGGAATTTGGAGTACATGTTCTTAAATTATGACAACCTGTTAAACCATGTAATAAATGTATAAATATAACGTGTGCAGGAATTCGAGATGACTAACAGATCTATTTTTTGCAATTAAAAAGATTGTTATTCTTTCTTCATTATTCGCAGCTTAAAAAAATTTCCCCGACAAACCATAACCATGTTCTTCAATACCATAACAATCAAGAAAATTTTCATCCCTCATTATATAATTCTTTTTAAAATTATGAATAATTTATCATACAGACAGAATTAATATTTCCATCTATTTTTTATCAAGAATTGTTTCCAAATTCAGTAATTTGTGAGATTCTTTCATACATGCGTTTCACTGATGGATATCTGTCGAGATTCACACCCTTCCCATAATCCATCAATGAATTGAAAAATACGTAAGTCATCAAGTCAACCCATGTAATCTGAAATATATCTCAAATTTTGTAAAACAGTTAAGAAACTCTCTATCCAAGTTTGTATTACAATCTATCTGGCCATCGAGATTCATTTACTTTACCATTAAGTTATTCGCTGACGAAGAGTTAACTTTCTTACCTCTTCTCCGATCAAATAGGTAGTTTTGTGGTTGGTCAATTGTTTCTCGATAATGGATGCAATGCGATTGCAAACCTTTCCAACTTTCATGTCATCGGCTGTTACAACCTGAAATTATCGCAAGTATTGTGTAACAACAAAAACATTCATGTTGAAATTTCAAGTTGTGCTAAATTATCCAGCAAATATTAGCGGAAAATGAACTTCAAACAAAATTTGTTTAATTTTGAAATTCATTGAGTATTTCTAGTACTCATCTTAAATTTTTAGCAAAATTCTGCCAGAAATTGTTGGCAATTTACAATTTTATAAATTTACAATTCCTCCCAGAAAACGCAATCTGAGTTTTAGAATCATTTCAAAAATGTTAACAAATGTGAGACTGCCATCATCCAATGAGTAACTAACATTAATATTACTATCATTATCATCATTCGCTGGTCCGAAAATTAAAATCTGAGCCTCAAAGAGCAAATCAGCAAACATGTCGAGGAGTGCATCCGTTGTTGCAGTTTGTCCGGACAGTCCTGTCAAATCATTCTTTATAACGGATAAGCAAACGACTTTAGTTATGATTACGAACTAAAATTATTTCAATTCAAAAATAACAAAGATAACGAAAAGTTTTCTAATTTATAACAGTACAGGACAAGTTTAGCAGTTAATAGTTGACAAATTATCAAAATAAGTAACTTTTCAAGTGAAATTAACATGCATAAATAATGGAAAGCAAGCACAATATGATGAATCGGTATAATTATAAAAGCTATATATAATCATATCAGTGAGAACTTACCGAATCTCCAGGCTAAATGACGACAGATGGCAGTTTGTCCACTCAGCTTGACATCATCAATTTCCAGTATTGGTAGTGTTCCAGGTAGTGTCTCTGTAAATACTTTATTTTTGGAATTTCCTTTTGCATTTCTAAATTACGTTTTTTAAATTTAATCATTGAATAAATATTCGGATTGGCACTCTACCCTTTTTCCGCTTCTCTATCTTATAATCGACCTTATTCAAAAATTTTTCTTGTCTTAGAATAAATGTGAAGTACTGTATCTGTCTTCAAATTATTGAACCAACGTTGAACTTTAAAAAGTTATAAAACTTCTAAACCATTTCTAATGGCATTCCATTGTTCTTCCCGATCAATACTGATATTTTCATAAGGAACATTCGCTATCTGGAATATCAGCTTTGCTAATTTACCATTTCGCTGCTCATTAGAATTATATAATTTGAATTTCGGCAATAACATATTTGTCGCCATCTACAAGTGAGTTCTGTTTCAGTTTTATAAATCTTTAAAATATTAGAAGAAACTAATTAATAAATGTGGCGATAGCAATATTTATAATCAGAAAACACTTTTTAACCCACAAAAATTTAAGAAAGCAACTCTACTAGCTAAACTTCACTGCCAAAAATGCAGTGGAAATATTTATTAAAAAAATCATTTTATGAGGGATTCGTGAAAACAATTCAAGTTTTGATCAACAACTGAAAGTTTGACTTTTTCAAATGTTCTTTCAATTCAAGCGTTCATTCAAGACTGAAATAACGTTTAAAGCTGCAAAATTTTTTCCTTTTAGTGAATCAAATTTTCATGATCGCTTTTTACTACCCCTTTCTTCTTTTCCGCCCAAATAGTTCAAACATCGAAGAATTCATAACTTTTCCCGTTATTTCACTTGAATGAACAACTCATACATTTCATAAGTGCAAAATTTAAGGTTGAATGATAAATAAGTGAGAGAGTTCGTCATTTCAAAATGACCTTCGATCAAAAATTTAAGAAATTCATACGTTTTGAGAAAAAATCATTTACCGCATCTTTGAAGAAGTGTGAGCACTTTCATCACACGAAATATATGCAATAAGCAAATAGCTAAAATAGCTTGCACTTAAAATATTCAGAATGTCCGAATTGATCGATTATGTTAACTTATGATAGTTCAGATGGACGATGGTTCTATGATGGTTCAAAGCGAACTTCACAGAAAATGGAAATATATTGGCGGATTCATTATAAGCTTGGACATGAAAATGGATCGATAAAATTCACAATTCATGGGATATTTTTTAAAAAATGTGATAAGCTTCGATCAATATTATCAAAATGAAACAAAACAGAACAAAGCAGACGTGAACAACGACAATGAAGAATTTACTGCACGATAGGTCCGTTGGGATGGAACAAAATCGATCACCTGAAGGGTGGAATAAATGTTTTCTACCGCTATTCTATTCCACACTGTTTTTTTTTGCATTGAAATACGATGGAATGCATTCGTCATTCGAATGGAGCATCTGTCATCATCACTTCCTATCGTTTTATCACTTCAGACAGTTACTCTTTCATCAGTTCCGCTTTACTCATTTCATGATAAAAGAATAGTATGATATATAGATTGAGAAAAAGTTATAGAACAATTTACAAAAGTGTTCTGAATAGTAATTTGTTGAGAGCCATAAAAAATATTCTGCAATTAATATTACTTTTCATCTCATTTAAGACGCAAATTACTATGAAATTAGATGCTAACTAATGTTTTGTTTGGATCAATTGAAACAAATCAAAATAATCGGTTAATTATTAGCTAGAATTTTGCAAAAAAAAAAAACTTAAAAAATTTGCTCTCCCCATAGAAGTGCAAAACTGATGGATTTTTTTCAAAAAACGAATGCTTATCATCAGTGCTTTCAACAGCAAACATTTCTGAGAAGAGAGTTTTTCGAAACTCTTAAAAAGCAAACTATGCCTACCCAATGTAATGAAATAAGTCCTTCAACAAAATAATTCTTATTAGAGATATGCTTAGCTTAGAGAAAAAACTATTAATCTTGGAAATATGAACGAGCCACCTAATCAATCGTAAACCATTAATTTAAACTCTTATCTTCAATCTAATTATTTCCAGCGTAAATTTTATTGATCTATTTTTAACCTTCTTGATTAGACTATAAAGAGAAAAGACAATTGTCGTGATGACAGCCTAAAATTATGTCTTTTCGGAACAAAATAAAAGTTTGAAATCAATCAATATGCAATTTGTGTTTACGAGACAGAACTTGGAACATATTGTAAATTGAATTCGTTGTAGATTATGCATTTAATCCTTATCATATTTACACTTCTGAAAATTTTCAAGAATTTTTGAACATTTCTTGTTATCATGTAGAAAATGACTGAAAAATAAAAGTTACACATAATTCTCCAAAACCACTTTTCTCAATAT